AAAGACTGCAGAGACTATGAGGTGGCATCATGATGGGGTGAACTGATGATGGATTGTTAAGGCATCCTACGGATTGTTTAACTTGGAAGTCATTTGACCAAAAATTTCCAAGTTTTGCAAGAGATCCCCGAAATGTCAGGTTCAATCTTGCATCTGATGAGTTTAATCCTTTTAAAATCATGAGTATTTCGTATAGTACTTAGCCTATTTTGCTTGTTCCTTACAATTTGCCTCCGTGGATTTGTATGGAACAATTATCCTTTATCTTATCAATGATAATCCCTGGTGAGAAAAGTCCCAGAAATGATATTGACATCTATTTGCAGCCTCTTATTGAAGAGTTGAAACAATTATGGGTGGGTGTCGAAACATATGATGTTTTGAAGAAGGAGAACTTTAATTTACATGCAGCTCTATTATAAACTATTAATGATTTCCCAGCTTATGCAAATCTATTTTGTTGGAGTACCACAGGTCGTTGTGCTTATCCTTGTTGTGTTGCATATACATGTTCAAAGTGTTGTATAATGGGGGGGAAATCTCTTACATGGGACATCGCCAGTGGTTAGGTGAAAATCACAGATTCAGATATCAAAAAAATTTGTTTGATGGTACTAAAGAGTTTAGAAAAGCTCCTGAACAAACAATCGGGTCTGGTATCTTGTCAATGTTGAAACATATCAAGTTCACTTATGGAAAGATGGATCAACCACCAAATACACGATAAAAGAAAATGACAAAACATGTTTATGATTATGATGTTGAACAACAAAGTGATGACGAGTCTGATGAAAAAGATGGTCCTAATGAGGTGGATTTGTGGAAAAATAGAAGTATTTTCTTCGAGTTTCCTTATTGGAAGGATCTCATTTTAAGACATAATCTTGATGCCATGCATATTGAGAAGAATGTTTGTGAGAATATTATAGGGAACATTCTCAATGTTGATAGTAAATCTAAAGATAATCTAAAGAGTCGACTTGACTTACTTAACATCAAAATTCGACATGATCTTCATCCTCAATTATTTCTTAATGGAAAATCTTGGTTACCGCCTTCTATTTTTGCAATGTCGAAGAAAGAAAAAGAAGTCTTTTGCACAGCGTTGAAGGATATAAAAGTTCCATATGGGTATGCATCAAATATATCTCGATGTGTCAGGGTTAAAGATCGAACACTTTATTCTCTAAAGTCACATAATTATCATATATTGATGCATGATTTACTGCCAGTTGCTTTACATGGTTGCATGTTGAATAAGGTAACGTCTTGTATAATTGAACTTTCCAATATAATGAAAGTTATTTGCGGGAAAATTCTGATGGTTGAAGAACTTGAGAAAATGTAAGATCTCATTGACTTTACATAATCTAAAGAAGATATTTCCACATTCATTCTTCACAATTATGGTGTATTTGCTAGTTCATCTCCCTCATAAAGCTAAAGTTGGTGAACCAATTTTCTATCGGTGGATGTATCCTATAGAGAGGTGCTAGTTGACTTATATGTGTTTAACCTATATTGAACATATATTTTAATGAAAATTATCAATATAATGTTGTATTTTGTCTCTAGGTTTTTGTGCAAGTTGAAGTCTTACTGTCGTAATAAGCGTTATCCAGAAGGATCAATTGCTGAAGAGTATTTGGTAGAGGAGTGTATGACTTTTTGCTCTCGATATTTGGAAGATGTTGAAACAAGATTGAATAGACCAAATAGACATGAAGTGTCCAATATTCCATACTTAGCTGAGACTTATTTGTTTGGGAGTTATGGTGAACCACACGGTAAAGTTGAAATTGCACAGTTAGATGAGAAATCTTGGGTACAAGCACACCGATATGTTATTTTCCATCCCGATTCATTAGATAATTTTCGCACGTAACTTTAACAATAAAAATCCTAATTTACTTTCTCGTGAACTTTCATATTTCTCGTTCTTTAACCACATAATCTTCTTTATAGCGAGTTTAAAGAAGTCCTAAGACCTCAATCACGCTCCAAAAGAATACATCAACAACACATTCAAAAGTTATTCACTGAAACCTTTCAAGGATGGTTAGGGCATATGGTAAGCAAATAAATCCTTGCACGACTCTTCTTGTTTTAATATATTGATATAAATGCTAATCGATTCACCTTTCATGCGTAATAGGTTTGGAGTGGGAGAGAAGTTAGTGAAGAGGTTAAATGGCTTTCTCAAGGTCCAAATAGAATTGTTAAAAAATATAATGACATCATCATTAATGGGTTCATGTTCCACACAAAATCTTGTGAAAGATTAAGGATGACACAAAATTTTGGAGTAGTTGTTACTTCTTCAACTACAAGTTATGCTAGTGCTAGAGACAATCATATTGCGGAGGGTGATGTAGAATATTATAGAATCCTTACGGATATCATTGAGTTGGATTATTATGGCAAACCAAAGGTTGTGTTATTTCGGTGTGATTGGGCTAATGTAAATACTACTCGAGGTATTAAAAGACATCATTTAAGATTTACAATGGTGAACTTTTCTCGATTAATTCACACTGGTCAACAATTGATGGACGAGCCATATGTATTTTCTTCTCAAGTCAAACTAGTTTTTTACTGCTATGATCCAATGGATGAGGGTTGGTATGTTGTACTTCGTAACACCCCTAGAGACTTGATATTTAGATGAACCTATTATTGGTACTAGTTCACAATTCCAATGGGTTCGGGATGACATGGATGAAGATATTTATGAAAATTGGTATGACATAACAATGTAGTTAGATTTTATATCTTAATTGATTAATTTATAATGTTATCATTTATATATGTTGATGTAGTCAAATATATATATTAATAGTATTATTGTCGGTAGTTAATAATATTATTGTTTGTTTATTGCAGAAAGAGCAGCGAGAGAAGCAGAGAGAGAAGAAATATTTCAGAAAAAATATAAACTTCAAAATTAAATTAAAGCTATGAAAAAGATGATGCAACATAATCAAACGAAGAATTCATCATATTAGGTGTTTTCTTAGGTTAATGCTTTGTTTATGTTACTGAAAAAAGTTGAACTACATTATATTTAACTTGGATGTTTGTAAACTTTGATTTATTTATGTTTTTATATATTATTACTTAATTCTAATCGTAATTATATTTAAGATGGTTATAGGATATTGTTACAAGTTAAATTTGGGTAATACAAAATACGAAGAAGATATGTTGAAAATCAGTTTTGATTAGCGGCGTTTTAGGAGCAAAACACCACTAACAGAGTGAATACTTGGCGACATTTTTAGGAAAAAACACAGTTAAATATCAAATCTTTTGCGGCGTTTGTGACTAAAAACGCCGTCAAATGACTAACCTATTACAGCGTTTTTGCCCGAAACGCCTCTAAATATCAAATATGTTGCGGTGTTTGTGACTACAAATTCCGCTAAATAGCGAACCTATTGTGGGAAAATGCCTATAAATATCAATCCTATTACGGCGTTTGTGCCCAAAAACGTTGCTATATGGCTAACCTTTTACGGCGTTTGTATACTAAAACGTCGCTATATAACTTGACCTTTAGCAGTGTTTTAGTATACAAACATCGCAAAAGGTTAGCCATATAGCAACATTTATAAGTATAAAACGCCACTAACAATTGCAGTGTTAGTATTAGCGGCGTGTTTTGTGGCGCTTTTAAATGCTGCTGTAGGAAAAAAAACACTGCTATAGACCAGTTCTCTATAGTGAATTAAATATTATAATTGAATTATCTAAACATATAATAATAAATAAATATAAGTTGATATTAATATTTAGGTTTAACAAGAAAAGAAAATTAGTTTTATTTTTATTTTATATTATAAAAATATATTATTTACAATTGAATTATCTGTTCAGGTAGATCAAATATATAAAATTTAAGGGTAAAGTATATAAATAGTCCCCAAACTTTTAGGACGCTTGTATTTTGGTCACCTAACTTTTGAAACTTGCAATAAAATCATCAAACTTTTAGTTCGTTTTCAGTAAGGTCCATGTTGTTACCTCCCGTTAATTTTAGTTGACGTGACACTTAACTCCCGTTAACCCCTTCTTTTTATTCTTTTTCTCCTTCTTCTTAACCATTGACAGACGGATGAGGGATGTCGATAAGGAGGCATGACCAACTGGGTTTTGGTCGAAACGATATGAGGTCTCCAACGATAGTGGTGGTGTGGCGAACGAACGACCCAATAGACCAAAAATTGATAAAAACAGAAAAGGGGTGTTGGGATTTCCCGACAAGATTCGGGGCCTTCTCTATGGCAAACTGAGGTGAGTCTCGGCGAGTAGCTAGCGGGATTTTGGTCGGAATAGGGTCGTGTTCCTATTGGTGCCGGAGGTTACGGTCATTGGTAACTGGCGACAAAGATCGGAGATGGATGTTCAAACGATCTTCTTGCGATTTGGGACGAACGGTGGACGGTGAATATGAATCGAGGGTCTGGGTGTAGTAGGAGACGATGTCAGTGACGATTGTGATGTCAGTGTGAGCCATCGTCGATCGAAAATGGGGTAACCGAAGGTGCGAGAGGAGAATAAGAAGAAGGGTGTTAACGGGAGTTAGATGCCAATATAAGGTAATGACATGTCATCATTAAAAAAGTTTACAAATATCACATCAGCGGTTCTATTTATATTTTTTAACAGTGGATGACCAAAATAAAATCAGAATGTACCGTTAGGTATGATTTTAAAAAAATAATAGTTGGACGAACAAGATGAAACAAAGGTGATAGTTAATGTACAAAACATGTAGTTTACCGAAAACGTCATGTAACCCATTCAACCCGACACTTAATCCTTTTAATTGGGTCAGATACTTAACTTCGTTAATTGGGCCTTCTGTCGTGGTTCTGTCAGTCCAGCAGATGAGTTTTTATTTAGAAGACGCGTATAAAACCATTAGTTCTCATAAAACCCTAGTTTTACTTCTTTTTCTGCTGTTTCTTCTGTTCACTAAAAATAAACTAGAAGCGGCAGCCCTTTTCGCTCAGGTAAGCTCTCATTTCTCCCAAATTTTAGAAACTTATCCACTTTTATCTGTTCAATTCTTCCAATGAAATCTCGTAGCGAATTTTATATGCTAATTTTAGTACCCTTTTTTTCTTTTACTGGATTTGAATTATCCTAGTTCCATTTTTTTAATTTTATCCTCTTTGTATTTTGCGTGTTATTGACATTTTCTGAGTCCAATTTCTTCGGCTTCTAGCCAAGTTAGGATAATTTGCCTCTGTGTAATACATAAGGTTTGGTTCCCTTACCATTTGTTTGTCTATAATCTATCTCCCAACTGCAGTTCCTCAGAGACGAGTAAACCATCCCCCGAGCTCGCCACCGGACATAGTTGACTTGAGCTCGACACCAGACATAGTCAAGGTAATCGACGCATCATCATTACGTGCCGGAAAATAGACATGTTATAGTTTTTTAAACGCAGTTAATATGGTTTGCTAGTAGTGGCCTACTAAAAAACATGACCAGCTGTAATCATATATGTTAATTATATGCGTGTGTTCGCTTTTAGCAAAAAAAAAAAAAATTTAATAGTGTCAGAATATTGCGTTTTGGTTGTAATGTTATTTTTCGTTTCTCTTTGATCAAGAGAGTGCGGCATATGGATGCCATTGACTGAAATTAGTGTTAGCTTAAAGAACGAATATGGTTTTTTATCCAATCTTTGAGCTGATGAATCCCTTTTCTGAACACTAAATGATTGATTGTTATTCATTAGAAAATATACAGTAATTTGCACTTAAGAAGATGGTGAGAGTCAGTGTTTTGAACGATGCACTTAAGAGCATGTACAATGCCGAGAAGAGAGGCAAACGACAGGTCATGATCAGGCCTTCCTCCAAAGTGATCATTAAGTTCCTTTTGGTCATGCAGAAGCATGGTTTGTTGATCTATACTCCCCACTCTTTTTCATTAAAAAATGAAGTTTTTTTGTACGTATAGTTGTAATATGAAAACGCTGATAATTTTTCTCCTTTTTTAATGATTGGCATTGCAGGTTACATTGGAGAGTTTGAGTATGTTGATGACCACAGAGCTGGCAAAATTGTGGTTGAACTGAACGGGAGGCTGAACAAGTGTGGTGTGATCAGTCCTCGTTTTGACATCGGAGTCAAAGAAATTGAGGGTTGGACTGCTAGGCTACTTCCTTCCAGACAGGTTAGCTTTGAAATTTTCCGATGTTTATTCTGTGTATTTACATTTCCATAAGAACCAGGATTTACTGAGATCAATAAATTCTTATTAGACAATCAAACAAAATATACACGAATGTTGATACTTCTGATCATGCATCATTATCTTGTTTTGTTGTTTAGTGGAATGCCTTCATTCTCATAGTCCACTAGATAAGGTTTTATGGTTGACATGAACTTGAGGAAGGTTTAGTCAACTGAAATGAGATTACTACAATATGCCATTTATGTGCTTTATATTGCAGTTTGGATACATCGTGCTCACCACATCGGCTGGCATCATGGACCACGAAGAGGCAAGAAGAAAGAACGTTGGGGGGAAAGTACTTGGTTTCTTCTACTGAGACAAATTTCCGAGATTTTCATTTTTGATTTCTCTTCATGTAGGACATGGTAGTTTTCCTCCGCCTATTTTTCGGTTATGATGTTTTTTCCCCCTCGAGATTATGAGTTGTTTGGTTTTTCCTTGAGTAATAGTTCTGTTGCAATGAACATGAAGTCTTTTACATAATTGTTAACTTTAAAGCCAAGCAATTAATTTCACGACCTTCTGTGCTCATATTTTTCCATCTAATAACAATTGACCGTTCATACACGCGTGTAATGATAACTTGTTTGGAAGCAAAAAAAATCCTCGACTTATATAAATTATTTAGTTGTCATTATCGTACTTTGAAGTGTATTTAATACTTCAGTTGCATACATTTTAAAGTGTTGGTACTATGCGTAAAATCTAAATAAAAGAGCAGTTTAGTCTTTGAATAAGATTGTGTTCTCGGAGTTGAAGCCTCTTCTGATGTTGGAATAGCTGAGATTCATCATCAAGAAACCGCTTGGATTCAACTGTAACAAATGAAGTTGAGGCAGTGTTCCCTGTTGCTTCTCTTTCTGATGTTAACAAGCGAAAAATATTTTTTTACAACAATTCTAAACAATTAAACCCTAAATTAAAATTTTCAAATACAAGTTTAAAAACAATGTCTAATTAACTCGAGCCTCTAAAAAAATGATTTCCTCTCTCTGTGCTACTCATCTTTTATTTTTTTTCATATTTCTTTCTTCTCTTCTTAGACCCATCGTTAATATCTGATTTTCATTATTTTTTTCTTTGGGTAAACTATGTGTTTAGTACTTAATTTATCTGTTTTAGTACTTAAATTTTCATTTTTATAAAAATCAAATATAACATTTAGTTTTTGTTTCATTTTTGGTATTCCTCTATTAAAAAACTTAACAGACAGGCTCGTCGGCCGTCGTATCTACAATCATCGACTGATGAAGCCCAAACTTTCCGCCCAAACTTTCCGACCCCTAAACGTGATTCCGACCTTCGTTTCACCGAGAAATGTCTCAATCTCCCCAAATTGATGATGAACTCTTCGATTTCTTCATTCTCTGATCTCCATGGTCCATTGTTCGATAATCTTGAAAGTGGGCCGTGTTGGTCGACTCATCATTCTCTCGTGGCCCATTGTTCAGATTGGTTGTTCGTCCACCAGAATTATGCTACATCAGTCAGTTCGTTAAATTTTTAATGACGGGTACTAAAATGAAAAAAAATAAACGTTAGGTATGATTTTGATAAAAAATGAAAGTTTAGGTACTAAAATTGGTCAAAACTGATAATTTAAGTACTAAACGTGTAATTTACTCTTTTTCTTTTCTTCCTCCATGTAATCTAGTTATAAACATGTTTGATCATTTGATTAATTAATGGATCTCTTATAAAACGTTCTTTATCTACTCATAATTATTAAAAATATTAATAAATACTCACAATTATTAAAAATATTAAATAAACAGTCATGATTATCGAAAATGACCCCCGACTAAATTGTATAAATTTACACATTTTTCTCCAGAAAACCAAGCCTTTAATTTTAAGCTATGGTTTAATTAGATGATCACGTACCAAAAAACAAGAAATAAGACATAGTTGGATATCTTATATGTTACCCCATTTTTTTATTCAATACTTATATTTGGTACATAAGTAATATCTCGAAGGAAAATTTAATTATTTTAAAATTTTTGTCGAGACATTAAGAAGTAGTAACACAAATTTAAACTTAAAAGTAGGATGACAGGTAAAAATCAAAGTAAAAAAATAATACATACGTAAAATCAATATTATTTATTAATTCTCTTAATTTGTATGAATAGTCAAAAAATATTAGGTGGTGTTAATTTATTGTTAATTCGTGTATTAATATATTAGGAAAAAATAAATTATAAAAGTTGAGTTAAATTGGTATATAAAATAGTAAAATTAAAGAATATATATCAATATAGTAAAAATGGAGTAAAAATAATCTCTGAAAAAACAGAAGTATATTCATTAAATAGTAAAAGAATGAAGAAATTAAATCCTATCTTCCTATATGCTATACTCAAGTAATAGGTCTCTTTACAATAAAAACAATAAAAAAAAGGATCCTATATAAAACAATGAACAACAGGAGTCGCCTCCACCTTCCCCAGCTTCAGCTCCAAATCTGTTCCCCAAGGCGTCAAGCTCAGATCCAGCACCAAATCACTTTCATCTTCGCTCCACTTATCCATCTCCGGCAACAAATCCCGAGTCACCAACCCTTCGTTTCCGGCAGCCCTGTGCCTCCTCATGTGACCGCCGAGAGCTTGGCCAATGGCGAATTCTAGACCACAAATCGAACACTCGTGGGTCTTCGGCTTCTTAGGTGAAACCGGAGCATCTTCTACCATTAGCCTCGGCTTCTTATGGCTCGCTCTATGACCTCCGAGTGCTTGAAAAGATGAAAACCTTTTGTTACACGTCTTGCATGCAAAGACACGACCACCACCGCCACCCTGGTAATGCTTCGATGCGTCGGTTTGGCCAATCTTTGATAGCAACATCAAGCAATTCGCCATATCCATGGCTTCCATTTCTGCAACTTCTCTGCCTCTCTTCATCTTAATATAATTTATTTATAAACTGTTTAAGAAGTCTTACAACTTTAGTTGGAAATCTGAAACGAAATAAAAAAGAGCTTTACTTGGAAATCTGCTGAGACTTTAGCTGTAGATATCTGGAAAGGAGATGAGTGAGGGCTTGGTTATTTATAGGTAGGACCGTAGGAGTTGGCGAGTGAGTGTTAAGTGGGAACACGGAATGTCCTAATGACGGATTTGACCGTGGTTGGGGTTTAAGAAATTAAAAACAGTGTTGGGTACTGTTTGTAGATTTGAAGGGTGGAAATGGGAATTTGAAGCCGCCACCCTTCGGCACGTCTGTTTCACCGCGTAGCTGAGTATGTTAAGAAAGAGTCGTTTGAGGCGACTCGGTAGGAATCTTCCTCGCAAATTCTACACTTTTTGCGGTGTTGGGAGTGTTATGTTACTTGCATCCCATACTCTGACTTTCTTGCGTGTGCCTCACGTCCCTTAAATTTTATTATTTATAGTTAATTATATTATGTTGTCGAATAGTTGTGTCAATAAATATATATATGTTGTCAATAAATTAAGAAAATTTTGAATTAATATAATATTATAATTATTTTAAATTATTAAAAATTAAATTATAAAATAATTTTTTATTTTAAAAAACTTATTATAAAATAATTACTGTATATTATAAAATAATAAATTTTAATAAATATAAAACTATTTTATAACAATTTAATACTATTAAAGAACAACAATAAGAGGGCCTTAATCCAGATAATAATAAATACAATTGGCAAGCTTTAAGTGACAAAAAATGTAATTAAAGAAAATAGAGAGTGAACGTGAAACTTGCTGCACAAAACCCTTATATTTATTAAATTCGCAATTCAGTCAAATAAATCCTTATTATTGATAGGAAAAAATATAAAGGTTTCCTTAACTGTGCGTATTATGTAAATTTCTATGTACCTACTTTCTATATGATCAGTTGAATGAAAATTAGCTCTATTTATTTGAACAAACACATATAATTAAAAAAAAAATAAACTAATAAACTATGTGATATAGTACAATAAAGCATCATATATAAGTGCGTCTTTACATATTATAAATTATTAATAATATAATGTATTTAAATATACAACAATACCTGAAAATAAATCAAAACAATCATCGTGTAGATATTTAAGAATATTATATTTTTGGATAAATTATGTATTTAGTCGTCCAACTATTCATGTGGTTCCATTTTGATCACTCAATAATTTTATTTTTCAATATCATACTTAACGTTATATTATGATCACCCGATTAAAAAAAATAATGGTGAGATTGACGTATCACCATTAAATAATGTCATGTTATCATTGAAAAAAATATCATGTTAGCAGTTTTGTTATTTTTTTTAACGTTAGATGAACAAAATGAAATAATAGTTGGATTGTCAAATACATAGTTTACCCGGAGGTTTCTTCTTCATTATTCAACGAGGACATAGTTAGTTAAGGAAGCTTCTTGATGTCACTAAAAGTATTGAAGAAACTAAGCGTTAATATAATGTATGGATGCTATCCTTTTCCGCTCATCAAACTGTCTTATGGACGATTCTATATTTCTAAAGCCATTTTATTGATTAATAAATATCGTCATGTCAGGTTGTTTGAGTTTGAACATTCTAAAAAGCCAAGGATTTGAGAAAACACGTGCAATGCATGCTTCAATTAAATATTACAATTCTCTGCGGGCTACCTAAACAGGAATCCCAGTTTGTTGTGGTTTTTTTTCTTCCCATCTTATAATGTAACCTTTTAAGGTATATCATATTTAGACAAATATTTTAAAACAAATTTAAATTGGAAGAAAAAAGGTGTAGAGGTAGATGCTATAGTTAGGTTCATGGATGGATTGAGATATTCATACGTACGGTTACCTTCATGAAAATTTAAATTTTATATAATTTACATTTTTTTGTATTTTTTTTATTGATGATATATTTTTATCTCTTTAAAATTTTATAAATTTATCTTATAACATAAAATAACGGGCTTTTTCCTGATTAAATTTAATTCTTGAGGTTTATAAGTTGGTTGGCGTTTCATTGAATCATAATCTCTTGAAAAATTTCACCGTCACAGTGACTGAATGCTTACCGAGCCTCTTACTGTTCCGAGAAATTCCAATCGAAAAAAGATGGAGTCTTATATTCAGACTAATCATTGCTGCTGTAGTGATCGATTACCCAGTGATCTTTCCCCTAATGCTGGATTTACAACTTGTCCTTTTACTTATCATTGACAATATTGTTCAAGACCGACCTTAGCTCAGTTGGTAGAGCGGAGGACTGTAGTAGGTTATTATATCTGACAGATTATCCTTAGGTCGCTGGTTCGATTCCGGCAGGTCGGAATTTTTTGTTTTCGATGATTTTTATTTTAGTACCAACTTTTATGAAATGAAAAAGATTATATTCAGACCATTTTGTATCAAGAATCAGGAATGGAAAAACAATTATTCTGCAGATTTCCTGGACAAGTAGAGAGAAAGTTTCTCTTAGGTGAACAGTGAACACCCTTGATGTCGATGGATCCGCAAATCTGTTGG